ATTATGAGGATTAAAAAAAAAAATCCTGAAAATTTTCCCCCTAAAATACTCTTTTGGAAAATCCCTTCTTTGGTTCGGGCATGACTCCTTTGACCAGACCTGCCATTCGAGACGGGCGGCGGGCCGATAGTGCTCGCGCCACCGCCGCAGTGTGGGCGGTGGGGTCAATCTCGGAGGAGTCGTGCTGTGTATGTACACGCCGTGCGCGCCTTGTGTTGTGGTACTCATTGGCTGGGACGCACGCGCCTCTGTCGTCAGGCTCAATGCGCGAGACCAGCTAGCTCATTGTATTGGGCTCTAGCGGCGACAGTGGCGTACGTGTCCCGTCTTCCCGATCCCCCCCCCCCCCTCTTTTCCCCGTTGGAGGAGGTCTGGCCTGGCATGGCCTTGGTCTGGCGGCGGTCTCAAGTTATTGGGGACTGCCCTCCCCCTTTCCCCCTGTCAGCGAAATGTCTTCTGTCAGACGAGTAGGCGACTGACCTGCCGCTTCTGCGAAAAGGCCTTCTTGTTCTCGTCCGTCGGCGTCGTCGGCGTCCACTGCTCCTTCCCCTGCTGAAGCAGGTGCTTGTCGCCGTTGGCTGCGATCAGCCCGGGGCACTTGGCGGGCTCGACAAGCGCATGCTTCTCGGGGGAACGGGTGTCCGCTGTGGAGCACAAACGACTGCGTGACGCTTGAGGCATAACCACCACCACCTCCGCGAAGGGGTCGCCCGGGTCACATGCCGCACTCACCGACGTCGAGCCCCCCTGACAGCCTCCGCTGCAGTCCCGGGTCGTCCCGGTCGGCGCCATCGCACTCGCGGTCCTTGGCCTCGACCATGGCGTCGTCGGCCTCCTCACGGGCGCGACGGCCAAGCCCCGCCTCGGGCGCGCGCTAGCCGGCGGCCGCAGGGGATCGCCTCGCACCTGTTCGACGCCAAACCAAAACAGACTAAAATAGTTTTCTGATAAACTACTTAGTTAAACGTAGGGCTAGCCAGCACGGCCAACAAGCGGGGTCCCAAACAGCGTGCACATGCCAATTTCAGCACAAAACTATTTCTACACAAGCGACAATAATGAGCTCAGGGCATGCATAGTCAAAGTGGTGAAGGGAGGCCGAAATTTCGGAAACACTCGTCGTTTCGGCGTCAATGTGACGTTTCTTGACGTGCGTACTCACCGGGTTGCGCCGAGCTGATCTCGCTGAGCCAGCTGTAGCGCGCGGGTCGGGCCGGGCCGCGGGTGTTCGGAGTGCCGCGCGCCGCTCGCGGCTCGTCCGGCACAGAGCCTGGCGCGAGTAGTATCGCGGACGAGCCCGGTCCCGCGAGAGCCCAAAGGCCACGAGGCTGTGTGACGACGGGATGGTCAAGGCTGTATGAGGGGGGGGGGGGATTCGCCCGTTTGCGGAAACCAGCTGATCGGCGGCGAGGAGGATCGGCCTGTTCGGCTGTTCTGTTCGGCCGGTACCGGCCGGCTGCTCCTCTCCGCGGCCGTTTGCGAGCCGCGCGCGAGCCGCTCTCGGCGCAGTCACACATTCACATTCGGCTATGGTACCGCCACCCAGCGGGTCGCGAGGACGTGCAATGTGTACCCCCACGACATGAGTGGTCCGCGGGAGTAACGCGCGCAAGCTACCCCACGGCGGGGAAAACTCGCGAAGACACCCCCGCGTCGCTGGCGCTGCCCTCGCCGGCGTGGGGTAGCTCGCGAGAGGGACGCGACTCGCGGCCCGTCCCCTCGGCGGATGGTGTGGGACCCGCGGTACCTGCGGAACGTGACCGGACGGTACCGGCCGACTCCGGACACACCCACACCCTCTCTCCCATACCCCCCCCCCTCCT